AACATCGACCAGACTACACAGCGCAACAACCCAGAAGGCAGAAATCTTCATCGCCCTGATGATGGAGGCAGTATGACCTCTGAAACGTTGGTTAACATCGACCAGACTACACAGCGCAACAACCCAGAAGACAGAAATCTTCATACTCATCGCCCTGATGATGGAGGCAGTATGACCTCCGAAACGTTGGTTAACATCGACCAGACTACACAGCGCAACAACCCAGAAGACAGAAATCTGTAGATCCACCGTCGTGAAAACCTCAAATCCTACAACACCAAAATTCCGCTTATGCAAATGGCCTCGCAGTCTGATTTATGGATGTTATGAGCCTCTCGGCTAATCTTCACGCAGCCAGTGAGTGTGCATTAAAATTCAACAACCACGCAAGAACGTTCGTCAGTTAAGTCTCGCCTGGACTCTCCTGGATCAAATTTTCGCAACTCTGCTGAATTACGTATAAACTGGTATCTATTAGCTCACAGCACGGATCCCTCTTCTGCGACTGGAGGGAAGCCATTTCGAAACTCACAGCTCAGTCCGTATTTTCCTTTTACACTGCAAACTTCTGTGCCCCGTGCCCATTAATTCAAATAAATTTTCTGCATCGTAATGTCATTCATTCGCTGCCGTATTCAATACTTCTCTTTACATTTAACCAGAGTATACGTAATTTGTTTCATATTTCTTAATTGAAAATTCTACCCGTATCAAATACATATTTGGTCTCACAGACTGAATCATCCATAAGCGTTTGTAATTTCGGAAATACTATTCCCACATTTACGATTAATCGCTTGATGTTACGTGGAAATTAGTGAATAATCGATACATCTTAAATAATATACAATCCATAAATTATCATGTAAACATCTTACATGCGTGTTTATTTATATAAGTGTTGCCATATTATTTTAACTGCACAATTTCTTATCACTTTGTCCTTGACAAGGCAACACACTTAAATTAGAAAAATTATGGTTGATATCGAGACACGTAACCTAAAAATGGCTTCCCTCTGACCCCATTCACAGATTCGATGGTCCGGAAATGGACTTTGCTACTCTCTCTCCCTTTTTTTTTTTTGAGGTCCATTAAGCGAAAAGATAAAAGGGCTTGCATCTGTTCGCGTGGCCACAAGCGCAGAGACAGCCGGTCCGGTCGCCATGTGGACCCTCGTCCTTCTAGCCGTGACCTTCACACTTGCCGTTGCGTTCTATATCAAGACACACGGAAAGCCTAGGAACTTCCCACCAGGTTAGTCAACAAGAATACGCCTCTGTGTGAGGGGGAAACGAAGTACAGACCTCTGGAGGTAAATCTACGAAAGTTACCGACCAAAAGGGACGTTTCTGGACTGAACTGGCTCAGTGTCCTGTCTGATATCCATAAACAGCGACGTTTTTGCTTTATGTCTCAAAATGTTCACAGCAGTAGACCATGGTGGGCTAGACATGTAACTCAAATTTTGGGTAAATAAACTAGCATAGAATTTTGGCGGGACAATCTCTGTTAGACTGATAAGTAGAACGAAAGACAGCAGATTATTAAAATTAATCTAAGATAAATTAAATTATGGAAAACGTAAACCTGTCTAAATTAGTTAAGAATATAATTCAATGACGACGGCCGACAAAGGATGATACTATAGCTCAAGGGTTGTGCAAGAGATTAACAACTGCCCACAGTAAAAAACCAGTTTCTAACGACACATGTTACATCAGACCCTTTGTAAACACGGTAAAGAATGAAAGGTAAGAGATTTCTCGACTAGCTCTGCGATAGTTACAATTCAACGCCGGGAAATGTTGTCAAGTTGCCATTACAGCGTTGCCAATTCTGTTTGTGTTGCGACGTTGCACGATTCTGCTGTGACCTTGAAGCACACAATTTGCTGACTGATACTTTTGTTTGGTCACAACTGCTGCGAAGGTCCTTGTAATGTGTTTTAGGGCCAGTATGGTTGCCCATCGTGGGGAGCGCTCCTTACCTTAAACGGCTGTGTCGTAAGAAGGGGTACATGCACCTAGCCGTGGCCCACATGGCGGAACAGTACAATTCTCCCGTCGTAGGCTTGAAGCTGGGAAACGAACGGACCATCGTGGTGTTAACACATGAAGTGGTACATCAGGTTCACACTCAAGAGGAGTACGAAGGCCGACCCTACAACTTCTTCATCAAGCTCCGCTGCATGGGAGCTCGCAAAGGTGAGCTAAAACACGAAGACGGTCTAATGGAGTCAGTCCATACTGAAGTTGCGGTCCTATATTTGCTTATTATTAACTTAATGGTTACCAGAAACTTGCAGATACTCTCATATCGTTACAAGTTTCTTTCTGCCATCTTTCAACAAAGCAGCCAAGAAGACAGAACGTTGGATCTATTTTCCTTCTGGTGATGTTTGCATGAATTATATTGGTTTACAACTCATCCATCCTTTCCCACCGAGTTCTATAAATTTTTCCCTATACATTCTCAAAGTTTCAAATAGCCTTCATGTTTGTAATTGTCAGAATAACATTAGTACCACGTTTCGTGAAAATCCGTTACCTTGTTCAAAACTTATGAGGACAAAAACACACAGTTTCTTAACTTTAATTGATTTACTGTAATTATAACATGTGAAAATAATATTCACTTACTGGGGATACTGGGAACGACCCGTTCTTCAAGTTCCTGAGCATTGCGGGTCCCAACTCTTCATTGATTCGATCTATAGACATTTTGGTAGGACTCCTTGGACGAGGGATCGGCCCGTCGCAAGGAATCTACCTGTACGCAGGACAGCACAACACAGAAAAACATCCATGGCTTGAGTGGGATTCGAACCCACGGTCCCAGGGACCAAGCCTCAGACCGCGCGGTCACTGCGGACCCATAATATTCACTTAAACCTACTTTGTTGCTTGTTATGAAAATATGTTCCAGTCGTTTAAATGGGAGTATCATTTTACATGAAACGTTAAATGCGTATAAAGCTAGTAACAAACTGACAGAAAAATTACAGCATAAAAAATTAAATAAAAACTATGGAAATGGTATTTTGTTATAGACTGGGGTCTTCTGGGTTGTGTTCTTGTAGGTACAGACGGAGGACATACGTAGGTAAACACCAACAAGACTACAAGCCGTCACAATTTGCAAGACCACAATCCAAACTTTCTCCCGATGAGGCAATATAAGCATCGCAGGATGAAACGAGATAAGGTCTGCCCTATCGCAAGGGCATTTGGTCAGATTTCCTCTATTTTTAGAGACTTGGGGTCACATTCACACTTTATTATCGACTCGTTGACCGCCGGGTCATAACTGAAGATAATTTATTGAATGTTCATATGAGTTTATTAAATGCTACTAATTACTATTGCCCGAAGTTCGACTGTTATTTTGAATACTGTCCATCGTCTCGATCTGTCTCGTCATCAGGTGAGGATATGAAAGAGGGGTGCCTGTTCCGGTGGGTCCCTCAGGCAGAGCTTGGTATCATCCAGTCTCCGAAAGGTTGTGCGTCTTTGAACAGATTCGAAATAACAGTCCAGCCATGTAGCCGTGTAGAAGGCGTTAAGGTCATGTCTAATTCGTTTTACAGTCGGTGCTGGTACTGAGCGTCATACCTTCAACACAAACTGGTGACCCATTCTAGATGCGGTTTTGATGAAAATATCCGAAAGTCCCTGATGGAAATTGGGATACCCGTTTTATAGACCACCCTTGTTGATCCGAAATTTATGTTGTTCAGAAGTTCCATTTGCAGTAGTAGACTGAACATGAAGCAGACTTCAAAACGCCACAGGAAACGCAATACCAAACAGTGGTTAGGCCAACGTCAAACTGATTCCAGTAGCTGCCATAGTGGCCGTAACTCCCGCATGCGACAAGAATTCTGCAATTATTGAATAAAAGTAGTAACGTTACTTACTTGTGCTTTCCATTTCCAAAGCAATTTAATTACAAAACTTTCTGAAGACACCTCTGTTGTATCTCCTTTTTATTTTTAAAATCCCATAGCAGCAGTCTTTCACAGACCAAACACACACGTATTTCGCTTTCAGCCATCTTACATCTACGTAAAAATGTAGTTCACAATAAATACAATGAGTGGCGCATCTATAGGCTTACTCGTAACACTACGATTACGTCCGGTTTTAGCCGAAGATAAAAAATATTATTTCTTCCATTCACGTTTGTGGCGGGCAGAATGAGAGGATGAAATATCACTTTTATCTACTTCGTTATGTTATTTTTTTTAACTCCGTGTACTACAGACCGCCTAGCATAAATAACTTTGAAGAGCTAACTGATTTGTGGACCAATACTTCCCAGGAATAACTTTCACGGAAGGAGAGATATGGCACGAACAGCGTAGTTTCGTGGTGCGGCATCTCAAACAGGTGGGTTACGGCAAGCAGGTAATGGAGGACATGATAACGAAGGAGGTGTTAGATCTGCTGGAGACGCTGGGTAAGGAAGGGGATGGAGGTACACGCGAGATCAGCGTGGGACGCTACGTAACGCCCTGCGTGCTCAACGTTCTATGGGTGATGGTGAGCGGTACACGCTTCTCTTCATGGGACGACCCTCGCCTGCAGCAGCTTATGCAACTTATGAGTCAACGGGCCAAGGCCTTTGACATGTCTGGCGGCACTCTCAATCAGTTCCCATGGCTACGATTCTTCGCGCCAGATTGGAGTGGCTACAATATCATCACGCGCATCAACACCGGGCTCAAGGAGATGATTGTGGTAAGAACGAGCAACACGTTTATTGTTTACATTTTTCACAGAGTTTATTAAAACGATGCACGCAGAAGATTAATCTGCTATGTTGTTTCAAGCAATAACCCTTCGAAACACGAGAAAGTTGATGAAGATAAGATTTATAATACAGTTCCAACCTCAAATAAAACACAACCTGTCTCCATTACAAAGATAAATAAGTTATTGCAGTTCATTCTGAGAATTATAAGAAAATACAATCTGTAGGCAAAATGCTAGGTTACTGAATGTAAAAGTAGATAGTACATAACAATATTATTGTTAACATAGCACTTAAAAGTGATAAATAAGTACTCACCAAAAATGTTTGATAGCGTCAGTATAAAAGACGCAATTATTTCGGTATATCCAGTAAAAAATGTGAAACATAACAGATTGCAGTATGATTTCAATGTCTGAATGTTCCAACAGGGAACTATCAATGAACATTACAAGCGGTATGACCCAAATGTAACCAATGACCTCATCGATGCATACCTCCATGAAATGGAAGCAAGAAAGCACCTCGAAACTTCTAACTTCACTTGTAAGTGTTTTATTGCTATATTGATTTACACGTCCACTTTTACCTAACTTGTTTAATCTTATAGTTACTATTCTAATAGCAAAAATATGATAGCAGACTAAATTGATGAAATAACTTTCCAATTTTGTGAACTTTTCCAGAAATTCCTATCTCTCAGGTTCTACATATAACTAACTGTGAACATGGAGACGCAAGAAAAGTAAATTTCATATTCTTAGCTTCAAATTTCAAAATTCACACTACTACAACAAAGCAGCCTTTAACAGGATTATCAAAATTCCTAACATCATTAAGAAAAAAACACCAAAATGTCATCATCTCCAAATACCACAAATATGAGATTTGCAAAGACTTTCAGTTCATAAATTCATGACACAAGTCTAATAATATAAATAATCAATGCACAATAGCAACTGCTTCATCTGTTCTCCATAATATGAATGATTAAAATTAATTAAACAAGAATTTGACTACTTATGCCTATTAACACTAGTAAGTATTTTGGTCCAGAAATAAACACAGAGAAAACTAAGCAGCCTATGACTTTCCTGCCTCATCATCAGGATACAGGTGCAAAAGTATAATAACAGGTATTGGATCCCAGAACAAAAATAAATAAATAAAAATCACAGAATTTCAGTGTTAGGGAATAGTAACAAATCAAAGGATGGACGGTCAAACTCCACCAAAGAACTGACCGGGCAAAATCTGGACGAACTAAAGGAGGAAGTGAAAGACAGTGCAATGTGGAGAACCTGGGTTCATGAGGTCGCCATGAGCCGGAAACGACTCGATGGAACATAACGAGCAAATGATAATTACCTAAATATAGCATTTACAGCACAAGATCTGTATGGTAATAGGAAATTAGGCTTTATGAGTTCTACCCTTGTAGTCTTCAATTTAGGAACTTTTTGAAAGATGCATAATTTCCCGTTAATTCAAGTACAGTGAAATTAAAATCTAGTCACCGTATTATTAACATCATGTCAATGTGTGATTTGAATTGTCAAAGTAAATGCATCTTCTTTTCCTGTTTTCACGGAGTAAACCTCCTTTCCTGTTCCAAATCAGAAATAATTCCGATTCAGCGAATCATTAGGCGTTTGGTAGGATTGAAACATCCGTGGTGAAAGCGGACTGAAATTCATTTTTGAGTGGTCCAAGACCACAAGTCCATGTGAGAGGCACAAACTGAATGCTTCCAACCAAAAGCAAATCAGTATTACCATAACTAGTTTGTTGATCCACAGGTGATCAGCTGATTCAAATCTGCATGGACTTATTCATTGCTGGTGCCATTCCAATTGGCAACACTCTTGATTTTCTGGTACTCATGATGCTTCTTCACCCTGATGTACAGAAGAACGTTCAGGAAGAGATTGACGCTGTTGTGGGGAGGAACAGGTTGCCCCAGCTGAGTGACAAACCACAGTATGTCTCTAAGTTGGATGGACAACAGTCAGTATGTAACTGCACCTAACGTCCATCCTCCTAGTTAATCATTTCTTTATATCTAGATTTATAATTTATTTGCTCAGGCACTTTGTGCAGAGTAAAGATTAAAATAAATTATTTCAGTATAATCCCACAATGAAATATGTCACAATACCTTTCGGTCTAGCCTGGAAAATATTTTTTAGAACTTTCCTTTCACATTTTTCAATATTTTCGAAACGTTTCTTTCTAATTTTCGTTGACACAATCTGTTCAGCCTGCCATACCTAGAAGCAGTACTAATGGAGGTTCACCGGATGTACATTATCACACCAGTTACTGGACCCCGACGTGTTACGAAGGACACAATACTGTATGGATATGATATCCCCAAGGTAAGAAACTCTCTTACAGTGTTCTTTCTTGCGTATTATTTCCACCTTCTTTTGTTTAGTAAGATTTGAGGTTCTCATAGCAGAGAGTAGGAAGACGGCATTTGAGAGGACCTTGCTGGCATTGTCATTACCCTGATGATGGCAGCAGCAACAACCTCTGGAACTATATCTTCATTCCCCCTTACATCTTTATATTGATTATGGTATTTTCTTTTCTCTTCTCTCCATTCCGATTTGTTTTCATCGACTCACAGTTTCACTTTTGTAATGTGTCCTCCAGTGACATCTTGCGTACTGTAAACAGTACAATTATGTCCAGGCAAACGTTCGAAATCGAACTACATCCCGATAACTTTAACAGCGAAGATGGACTTCACCTGAGCCGGTCCTGGAAGCCTCTTATTCACACACTTCGAGGACTCCCGAGAGCGAGCAAGAGTGCGCCGCCAGAACCAACCAGACCACTAATATGGCCCCCTTTTCAGGGCCCTGATCCATCCAACCAAACTCAACCTTTCTCTCTCTACTTTCTC